TCTCGTGTCACGGATTATATCATCTTGTGGTACAAGGAATAACCTTGATGGAAGAATTCCGACCAAACCTAATGGCGGAAATGCGAAGAAGAAGTACAAAGGTTGATGTTTTGTTCAATTATCTTCTGGAGGCTTTCTGCTATATATCGATATAACTCGAAGGATTTTGTAGTATTTGATTGTATTGATTTTTTGATTGCATGAGATTTTGTACAATTAATATATTGCTAAATTATTGAAATTTTAATTCATGTCAATCAAACGATTCATTTTAAATACAACCATATGACATGTTCTTTTGATTATATTTTTTTCCAACTTGAACGAAAATAATTCCTTTAAAAACAAATTCAAGACCTACCTTGGATACAATTTTCTAATCTCATTACGCACACATTAAGATCCCGAATATTATAATTTATGCCATAACTAGAAAATATACGAATAGGCTAGGACATTCATGAATACTCTTTAAACAATGTTTTGTTTATATTTTGAAAACGAAACTACATACTTGTTAAAACAGTTGCCTCCAATGCCATTTTGTTCCTGGGGTTATTGCCGTCCGTCGTATACTTGTAAGCCCCTTAGGGTATCGTTTGGTATACAAATCAGTGTCGACACATTTAAAAAGTACTTGCAAGACCAAAAATACTGAAAGATCCTCGAAAACGAATTGTGCCAAATTTTGATGTCGCAAACAGTTCACGTCATAAATTTGTCGATCACAAATGCATTTATTACCGATTCTTCCATGTCCTTACCATTGATGCTTTGGCGTAAGCCCTTAGTCCAGAGGAATAAAAGTCATCACACAACTTTAAATACGATGCGCAAAAAAACTGGCCTCAGGTAAATTATTTAATAAATTGTTTATATTCTTAGAAAAAACAAACATGAATATATTTTTTTCATGACATGGTCTTCATTTGGTCAGATTTAAAACAATATTGCTTGCTTGCTTTAACAAGTGCGCAACATCTTCATGGCCTGACCCTTGAACTTTCCCTGAAGAATTTATGATACGAAAACATTCACGTAATCTTTATTTATAATAAAGATATGTTATCATATATTTCTGCGTCAGTGCATACCTTCTACTACTAAATCACTTTTTTCTCGGATGATAAATATTTAAAAGATAGTAAAACATTGTCGTTAGAATAGAGTGTTACATACCATTATGTAAAATGATGTCACGCAACCATGACGTTGATCACTTAGAAACACATTAGAGAAATAAACGTATTTCCTGCGGCTTATTGTCCTTAGTAAGTTGCAGTGGTTGCCATTGTGCTTAATTGTTCAAAATTTTTCTTAACACAGATTGTCCAAAAATGATATGATGAAAATGACAGAGGTTCAGATGTTAATATATGCATATTTTTTATTAACAATTAGTCATTATCGTCGTACAAAACGATATATTCAGCTCAAAATTCCTACTTAAATGTGACAGATTGCTTCTAAATTGTCATATCTGGGTCAGCAAAACAATTAAGTGGTATCAACGCTGTCTTGCTATACAATGTTTTTTTTTAAATCTTCCAGTTGTTATTGTCATGGTATTAAGTCCTATGAATTTAAAATCCAGCATATAACTTATAAAAGATTACATATAATGTCTCAATCACATACAATATGGTACAGGCATATTATGGAGCTATATAGTAATAAAAGCGAGTACATCAAGATACTATATTTACGTACACATATGCACTGTAAACAACAAATAAATAAACATGACAAACAGTCAGCAAGAGATCTTTATTGCTTATACTACATAGATTTGCCATCGTTTTGAAAGAACAACCCTGTACAGTACGTTTAGTGTACGTTCCAAACGGTTTAAAGTGTATGTTAATGGGTGCAAAACAAAAGCTATGTCATTCGTTTTAAGGCACATTATGCCTCAGACAAATGAAGACAAACATAAGTTCGATAAAGTTAAAATAATGTTTACAGAGCATTAAGAGTATAACATAGTTCTGAAAGTGAAATTATGTTTCATAAAGGGCACACAATACTATTTATGACCCTAAGGTTACATACTAAAGGTGAAGGCCTTGTGGTTTTTGACAAGAGGATTTTTTTATATAACATTTAAATCGATAATCCTGCTGACAGGGCTCCTTTTGATCCAAGTGCCAAAATTCGAACAATCTGTGTAGAGGACCACTAGATGATGTTACATGCCAAATATCAAAGCTGTAGGCCTTGTTGTTTTTGACTAAAAGAATTTAGAAAATTTGAATAACCCTCATGGCGGAGCCCCTTTTAACCCTAGGTGCATTATTTGAACAATCTTTAAAGAAGACCACTAGATCAAGTGACGTACAAAATGTCAAGGCTCTAGGCCTTTAGGATTTTGACAGTCAAGAAGATTTCCCTATATAACTTTATAAAAAAAACTGATGAGCCCTCTGGCATGACACCTTTTGATCTTTGGCTCAAGATTACACCATTTTGATGGTACGATTGTGACAGCGCGATGGTGGAGAGCGCGATGACTCGATGGTACGATGGTGAAAACGTGATATAATATCACTTTTTCACCATCGTACCATCGCGAAATCGCGATTTCACCACAGTACCATCGTGTTTTCACCATCGTACCATCGTTTTTTTATCATCGTGTCATCGTACTATCGCATTTTCACCACCGTACAATCGTGCATAACAGGTAAGGGAGGAATAAAAAATCACTATTGTCCAAACGGAACACCGTATATATACACTATCAAATCGTCATGTATAGTATAACATATATTGAATCGGGTTTTCTCGAACATATTTATACATAAAAAAGACAATTCTGGAAAATCCAGTTGTTAATAAAAATTTAATCAATGATATTGCATGATCATATTACATGTTTCAAAAGTTGCGTATAAAAGTTGCCTGTGACATATATGTCAAAGTCTTCGGTATTACGCAAGATTAAATAATCCATGCTAGTCTAGAATATTCGTCTGAAAAATAATATACATTCACTATACATTGTAAGGAGAGGTGACGGCTTATCAAACAAAGTAAGTGCCATTGTTTAGTAATATGAAAGTTCATTGTTTTTAAAGTACTATCCAATACAGATGACTTTTACTGTTAATACAGATGACGTTTACATTTTCCTTACAATGGCGATTTTGCAAAGCAGATGTCTAGCCCTTATTCAGAAAGACTGTATTATTACTTGAAACGCCTACATTACTTTGACATGTATGGCATTGTAGACATACCTCAAGAATGTATATAAATACAATGTTATAAAGTCCGTATGCAACAGAAAGCAGTTTCTAAATCGCTAAATATATAATTTAGTTTCATGAACAACATAATAAAATATTATGCAGTTTCAACAAATCCATTCTATTTCAGTAAATTCTGGTGCAATATGTTATCATTATTTACATTAAAGTTTATCTTAATAACATGCACCTAACATGTTTGCTGTATGCACAAATAAAGTAGTAAGAAATTTTGTTTCATTCTTGAATAATTGTTTGAAAACAAAACAACCTATTTTGTTATGTTTGAATCGAAATAATATCTTCTTGTTGTTTTGTTGTAAAAACATATATCAGTTCGGCCACAACGGCCTTCGTGGTAAAAATATATACAACAGGTAGTTGGCAGACATGCGTGAATCGCATAACACCTTCAATAAAAGCACAATTCTAAAACACATTTGAATATTTGGATTCATTCAGCAGAAGTACAATCTGTACCATAGTGAATTGTCTCCTATTGAAATAACCTTAAGGTATACATGCCAAAGCTATTTTGACGAAACCAAACTTTATCTCCTTAATGACAATATATTTCTTCAGTTAATCGATAAACTTGACCTTACCTATTAACATATTAAATAATTCATAATTCCCTAGAAAGTCGCTTAGCATTCTTCGAGGTTTTTCACTTAATGCGATACAGCTTGCCAAATGGAATGGAATTTTAGCTTTGTAAACATACAATATGTATTTATGTTAATGTTTTATATTCTTAATGTTTATATTTTATGTTATACATTTTTATTACAATTTTGCTCTATCATCTAGAGTTATCATTCTTGTTCACTGCACACCTCCTGAGTGAGATCTATCCATCTATGAAGTTTCATGTTGATATCTCAAAGGCTTTTTGAGGTATGCTCTGGACAAAAATAAAGTTTGAAAAATAACAAAGGGCAATAACTCAAAATTATGCAGGGTGGAGCTCCTCAATATGATCTATCCACCTATGAAGTTTCTGGATGATACCTTAAATACTTTTTGAGATATGCTTCGGACAAAAATGACGGACGGACGCCTTTCGGTGGGGGATAAAAATGTACAATGAGCAATTATAACTTATTTCATCTCTGACATATACATTTAACTGTCTTCTGCAAGACTAAGTTTCGTTTTAACTTAATCTTTATAATTTTTATTAAAACAGTGTTGAATGTGTTTGCTTTTGTAATTGTAAAATTGGGCTTTTCTCCAAATGCATCACCCCATATACCAGTCATAGTTTGGTATTTTGTTCTTTCAATAACAGAACAATTCATAAGTCAATGTTCCGTCATTCATTCATGATTATTTTATTTTATGTGTATCTAATTATCAGAATACCCTGCCTTGTGCGTTTTAAATTATGTACCAATGCGTGTAGGAGACCAACGCATAGCTCCCATACTGACCTTTTGTATTAAATCAGATAAATGGATAGCTTACGATAAAAATTCACATATTTGTTAACAAAAGAGAGTATAGTAACGGTCGTGGTTCAGTTTTATTAAGTTACCATCTAACGTTAATCGAATAAAAGGTCAATGTAAGCATAAATCAATTGTTTAGCTTTGAAAAGAAATCCAATTACCGCCATAGCTTACTGTACTTCGAACCTATTTATCCGCCTCACGCAAAGACTAAATTTGACTGCAATTATGAATTATTAATGAAACAGCCCTTTTACACAATGACGTTTTTTGTCCTAATTTTATTCTCCCTCAGACAGACGCTACTTCTAAACGAATAATGAATTAACCAACGCATGAACGTTTTTAAAGACATTTTAAGCGGGAAAAATAATATCCGATTTTTTTTTCAAATTTAGGTTTTCCAATTGAACGAAAAAAATCGCTTATGAGTAATTCTTGACGTATAAGGTTAGCAAATCTCTTCAGATTGACAACATGGTGAAACGCCGGATTATATCGTTTGGTTTTCTAATGCTTTTCTTCTGCTGCGGTGTTGTCAGTAAGTGTTATATTTTCTACAGTCATTAAATACCTGTACCTTAAAATTGATTTTCTTCATGTTTATATATATTAACGAATGAATATACAATTTGCACAAAAACGTTTGTAAATAAATATGATTGATTGTGAAATACATATTACAAACTCGTTGTCACTGTTAGAGTTATTTAGCGGCAGTATTTTAAAAATTAACATTGAAACGAAAAAACGTTAATTTCCTTAACAATTTTGGTGAGGACTTGGTTAATTTTCATGATTTAAATAAACAAGTTGACAATTCCATGCACACCGTATTACACAAAATTTAATTGTATAATTAAAAGAGAGTTTAAATAAATCGTAGTTACAATGGTGTTATAAACATTAAATTTTGTAGATATGTGATGTCTTAACATCATAGATAACAATATTCAAACTTTAAAAACGGGACAGGAGAACAACATAAGATTCACGTGCGTTTAAGGCACAAAAAAAATCTCAAAATTAATAAAAACCTTTTTTATGATGTTAGATGAGGGCATGATAGATGTTTAATAGTATTCGTAAATAACAGCGTTGAGTTTGAAAAGATATGATGGAATCCTGAAAGCAGTACTTTTCCTTTTATTCAAAATGTTAAATTACACACTCTTTTTTCATGGCAAAAAAGCAAAAGATGACATATGGCCTATGTAGCTAAAACAGACCATTCCGTTAAAAAGATGACACACACGCGTGCGCACGCATAAGCACGCACGATCTCCCTCTCTCTCTCTCTCTCTCTCAATTCCAAATTCCATTTTATTTAGTTCAGTCCATTGTTTTCTCGTTTAGGGCATACGCGTTCTATTACCGTACTTGCGGACCATACGCCGCTTTTTTGGCACGGAAGTGTCACATTGAATGTTCTATGATAAAAGTCATATGAACACATCTGCTGATGTTTCTAAATTCAAAATTGTACCATTTCGTGTTGAAATGTTGAATTCGGCTTAAGCCGGTGCTAGGGTGTTGACGGTAGCCATGAACAGTCTCAATCAAACCGAGTCTGTAGCAATTTCCAATTTGCCGATTAGAGCTTTCTTTAGGGATTCTTATTTTCTGTATTTTGAATGAAAACAATTTTCTTTGAAGCATAGATTGAAAAAATATTCCCCATGGTGTATTGCACCTTTATGTACTGTATGTCTCTCGGTCATCTAATGACGTTATTAAATAAGGTACGGCTACAGTAAGTTAACTTTCTGGCCTAAGATAAAAATATTTTGGAGAACACAATTTAAATGATTTCATCTGTGATACATGTACTTCGTGTTGTTTTCATTGCATACATTGTTGTTCTTCAATTTTAAAACATTAATGCAGTCCGGCTTTAGCGGTACCTAGATGTAATACAACATAAAAATGTATAGAATATAACATGTTTATTCAAACGAAACATGCCTTATCATTTTAAACATGAAAGCAGTAACAAAATGAAACTCCTAAGTAAGTTATTGTATTTTTAAGAATCAAACAAAAATTACAAAATAAAATGAAATGTTATTGACGAGCTCAAATTTCTCACAATCAATTTCTCTTAACTTTATTTGATGTCTAGGATCGTCTTCAATCAATGTCAACCAGTATTCATGTAAAAGTCAAGATAAAGAGCGACTCGAGGAGTGTGCATTTGGATGCTGTAAAGATAGTGGAATTTCTAGATGTTGTACATTTTCACAGGATGTCACTCCTTCCCTGATAGCTTTTGGAGTAATCTGTTTAGCTGTTTTGAGTATAAGTCTTATCATTGCTGTATCTGGAGGCGAAAAAGACAAAGGGAGCTCTAGCGAACAAAATGGTGACAATGGTTGTTGCCATTGTCACGACTGTATGAAGAATAATTCTTGTTTTAAATGATGAAGAAAATGTCACTATTATATAAACAACAATTAAGCACGTCTTTGACAAACTGAGTTTGTATTTATTTACAATAGTCAGCATTACATATGTGTCATGTTATTTCAGAGAAGTTAAGTGTTTCAAAGTGTTTTTTTCTGATACAATTTCTGTATTTGTATTAAATCGTAACATTTTTTATTTGGTAAATCGGAAAACAAGATGAGTAAATGATACCAACATGAGAGTGCAGTCTTATTAGCAGTTCAATAAAGGAAATCATACAAGCCATATAATTTGGACAATATGCACACTTTAACATGCCAGTTGAACATGCAAATTTGATTTGATACCAATTGGCCGACATTTCGACCAAGTGTCATACATTTTAGTGTTTTACTGTTATCAAATGTTGACTTTGTGTTAGTTTTGTGCCTTATATGTTATATAAAAAAAGCATTAAAATTGAATAAAAATGTGCAGAATTCAGGATACATATTTTTAAATTGATATAAATTAAGTAAACTTGGATTTCGACCTGTGACATACATGATTAAATTTGAAAGTACTATAAATTATAATGAGGTTTTCTTGTGATTATTTACCTTGAAATGCACATCAGTTTATTTCTCAGTTGACCTAGATATTGACGTAAAAACTGTATCCGATGCAAAATTGAGTATTGATATCAACTGACCTAGATTTTGAGCAAGTTAGCTTTTCATTGTTTTGCTGCTAATACAAGGTCCCAAAATCACCACTGTATAAATACATCTGCGAGTGTTTCTATTTTCAAGATTGGAAAGATTATATAATTTCAATTTCGGAAATCGACTTTTTAATTGCTTGATACATTGACACATTTTTAGTCATGCTAATATTGAATTTGTAAAAAACTACTAATGTGCCAATGTAGCTATCATAATGTAATTATATTCAAAATTTGATTTTATTTGTAAACAATTTACCGTTGTTCGTTGTTTGGTAACATAACGTTGAGCGGTAAGATTCATTATGCCGACACTGTAGTAAATTTATGAATAAACCATAATTTTGTTTATAACAGTAAGAGTATCCTACCAAGTAAAAAATACAGTTATACATGTTACGCTTTTAAATTACCATGAACTATTACTATACTAGATCTAAATATTTTAACAAAATGAATCTTCAAACAAAATGTGAGCTTTTCTTATCTTTATCAAAGGAGAAACTTCATATGGAGACCAATCGAACGTCGCTACGGACTCACAATCAGAGATGTTCAATGTTTGATCCTTGAAGAATGTTGGACACGGCATAATTATTCTTAATATTTTGTAGAAATAATGATTAACTTGCCTCAGTGTAAATATTAGTCATATGGCTACACAGTCAAAACATAAAAAAATCATATTAGCACTCAGGGACTAAGTTTTGCAGCTTAAATATCTTTGACATTTGTCAGCAAGGTTTCTACGATCATTTAGATAAGGTTCAAATATAGGTTATCTTGGTCAATAACTAGGTCACATAACTAAAACTGAAAAAAAGCTTAATACTCTAGAGGAAACATGTATAACTTTAATATATTTATTTGTTGTTTCTTTATTATTATTTCTAGCTAATAATTGCTTTCGGTTACCTCGAGTCTAAAGCTACAGTCCGTGATTGTTTTTTTGTGTTTTTTTTTCAGGCCCCACATGGGGTAACCCAATTTATTCGCTGCGTCATATAACCATTTGTGGGTCGAAGCACATCCTACAGTGGTTTAAAAAAATCCATAGGAACGGGTATACAAGATGTGAAACCAATGTAGTGAAAGAAAAGAAAAACAACACTTACAAAAAAAAAAAAACAAAGGGGAAAAAATCACACAAAAAATAACATCAACAATAAAAAGAGACGAGGACGACAATGCATTCACACTCGCACTCATAACTGTATTTATAACAAATAGTTTCAAAAGCATCAACATTATATAAAGTCCAATGCATGCTATTTTGGCTTGAATTATTTCTTAATTACATAAACTCAAAACAATACTTTTCAGTGTAGAAATAAGATTTTCTCAGCTGACGTTTTTCTTTTTAAAATAAAGACATACATTTTCTAAAAGACTCAAAATTTTACCAATATTTTGTAATCTATTATTTATGATTGCTACCTCTTTATTTGTCTTGAGCTTTTGTGTTATAAAGCTTTTGGCTGCAATCATTAATAAAGAAAGATCAAACATTTTACAATGACAAACATTCATTTCAAAGTAAACTAAAATAAGTTTTGTTGCGATTATCTTTTGCATTATAGCCAAACATCATTTCTTTTATACCCACAGATAAAAAAAATTCTTCATTTATTTTAAGAAATTCATTTATAAATTCTAAATTCTTTGACAATGGGACACATCCAAAATAGATGCCCAATTCTTTCAACATCATTACTACAAAAGAACATAAAGGACTTTCTTTTATACTTAATTTTGTATAAAAGATGATTGGTTCAAATAATCATGTGTAAAACTTTTGTTTGAAACCATTGCAACTTTGTCCATTATTCGGTACTTGTGGGCTTTGAGTTGTTTTTATTTCATATTTTATAGTAAGGTTTTGCTCCATTTATGTCTGATATAATATTTTTAAAGTATAGCGGTATGTTTAGACCAATGTTTTACTGTGGGATATTATAGATTTAGGAAATAGATATCAATTCTGGGTACATTGTTGTAGAATAATGCACGGTTTGAGTTCAAAAGCGTAGTAATATAATCACGAAGGCCGAGAGGCCTGAGTGATTAATTACAAAGCATTTGAACGAAGAATTAATATCTATTTCCATTCTAACACGTCAAGAAAAAATATAATTATTATTATAAAGATGGACTTTATGTTTGGCGGTTAAATTTGTTACGAATTTTGAAAACGTTGATAAAACTTTGTTTGTTTATTTTATTTCATTCTATAATTTTCCAAGCGAAATACAAATTATTAAAAGTGAAATAAATGTAAAACTTAACTCGTCTGCGACGTTAAAATAGCGTACTTGATTTTGATTGTTTTGCACGTGCTGTTCGGCGCTACATTGTGACGTCACGTAAACAACACTTTAAACGTCTGTACAGCGTTAACGACTGAATTAAAGATATTGGTGTTCGGATTCATTTTCTAAGTTAGACCATTTTTTTTCATTCTAGATAGTTTTCACAACAAAATTCGACAAATATTTTTTTTTATTTATAAGATTTTTCAAACAAAATGGCGCCCTCAATGTAAAAATACACAGGGAGATAATAAGAACGGCGAGTGCATTGTTGTAGAATAATGCACGCTTCGGGCCTTCTTTGTTTATATAGAAAAAAATCTGATAAAAACGTGGACAAAAAGATGAAATTATTCAAGAGATAGTACTGTAGCGTAAGTTTATCTTAAAGTAATGCGCAAAAAGAGCGCTCGCGCTTATTTGTCATACGTTGCTTGAAATACAGGAAAGTTCTTCTGAAATCCTAGAAACTGGTTGGTCGCAGTTCCGCAATTGCACGATAAAATCTTCTATGGTCGAATTATCGTACATTGCTCAAAGCAATCATTTCTAAAATAAATCTTTATTCATATTATTATATGTCGTTGATTGTAAAATTTAATTGTAGCCCGGAAGGCGTTATTTTTCAAACAGAATGCAGAAACTTCAACAATAATCAATTAAGGCTACTGCAAGTCATACGAAGAACAATGCATTTTAGCCAGATAAATCAGGATCTTCAAATGCTTACACCATATACGTACACCCCCGTGTATCTGCAGTGATTTGTAATGGATGAATAAAATCTGTATCTTTTATATTTAAGTAGAATAAATGTATATCAATATAATGTTTCTTTTGTTACCGACAGATCGCATGCCACATTTTCGGACAGGGCTGTATCCGGGCCATATACTGTACCTGAACAAAGATTTATTAAGTTCATGCCTTGATGATGGTATCACAATATAAAAGAAGAAATATTGCTTCTATGATATCTTACACAGGTTCTAATATGTGTAATCTAATTAAAGGTTGTTACTAAGTCACAGTGTATAGATTATAAAAAAAACTTCGTTAACATTCTACTGAAGATGTAACTCTTTAGGCTCAAATGTCATGGAAATCATTTTAACATATTGGGTCTGAAATGCAAAAGTAGATTTTTTAAAATAAAATCTTAATAAAATATTCTCTGAAAGTGCAATGTGTAGAGCTGATATTCTTTTTGAGTATAATCATCTAATAAGCTCTGGAAAACATTTTTCAAATAATAGCTCTGCGTTCATAATTATCCCGCCCCTAAAGTCATTGGTTTTTATCCTATTAAAACTTTAAACCACCTTCTATGGTTTTATCATGGTGAAACATTTACTTCTACACAACTAGCAAATTATAGCCTTTAAAATAAAATTTAGCCTGTCCAAGTAATTATACAATTTGCTTGTATGTATATAATTAGGCTATAAAAATATGACCTTTTCTCTAAAACATCAAAGGCTAAAGCTTTTTTCTATGACATAGAAAACTGTCAAGTAGACCTTAAAGATCATGTAACACAATTGTTCAGGGTTTTAAATCATAAATATGATGATCAAATTAAGATTTATCAATATTGTAGGTTCCAAAAATCATTATTTATAAAGATATTACCGAATTTAACATTTCATGTAAATAAAGGGAGGTAATTAGAAATGTATTGTTTATAAAGTTTAAGTCAAATTTTACAATAAGAAATACATGCACATATTTTAATAAATACATGTAATATGCAAAAATATTTGTAGTACGTTTTTAGATATACTTCGATGTCTGAAAATTGCTTTATTTGCACAATTATGTACATATACATGTATATAATTTCACTTAGTGTGGTTAACCACTTAGGATCTTTAACTTAGTGTGATCCAATTATTGCCCTTGTGTCAAAATGGACTGTTATATATTATAATCATCTTAAATTGATGATAGTGACTTATGCAGAAAAATAATTTAAGTCGACAGTGTCTAGAGCTTAGGTAGTCATAAAATGTGCCGTGTTTACCTTTACACAAATTGTATAAGTTTAAACAGAGTCATGTTCATTCAAATATATTACCCAAGTGACGGGATTTAACATCAACGACTTATTTCCCATAGCAACCAGCAACTTCAGTAGCAATCACTAATTTTTCATTGGTCATCGCAACAATTGATTCTTAATGGAATTCCTCAGCACCATAGAAACAGTGTAGAATGCAATCAGGTGAGCAATAAAAAGGCCATTATGTACCCTTTGTGATTTAGGAAACCAATACTTTGTAGGGAGCTATATTTCTTTTTATATAATTTCGCTTTTAAGACGGGACAAATATTGAAATGATACAACTCTACAAATCCTCAGAGATATCAGAAAACTGCGCAATACAGAGAGCATACGTATTATTTGAAATAATTAGAAAACAGTAAGTTTGATAAATATCATTTTTGACGTGTGTGTATTTCGTAGCTTATTTTGATATGCCGTTGCAAAAATTCATAGCACTGAACCTAAACAGAAGGCCTGATATAAGCAACAGTTGCCTCAAGTTCTGTTTTAGTACAATTCA